CCCCCCCCTCTTCCTCAGTTGCGAGATGATAACACGACAACACACCTTTACTGAAATAGCCTCAAAACCAACACCCAGGAAGTTTATTATAGCGGATTCTGGTGTGTTTCAAACAATGTAAACGCCCTATTTCTTTTTGTGCCACTTTGGAATAAATAAATACATGTGCACCTTCACGTTGAAAAAGACAGTAACATGTGATCTTCTAAGTTGCGAGAAATAAAGTTATCGTTCATTTTTTTTTCTTTTTTCTTTCTTTTGATGTTTGGCAACGCCAGTCTCACTTGCTCGCCTGGGTGGAACCACGTCGACTGTTTCTACCGGCGGTCTTCTTACCTGTGGTGGATGAAGCACCTGGTGAGAAACTACCCCACACATCTGGTGGGGTATAACGCTTTGAGGTACGGATAGGACTTTCTAAAGAGTATTTTGCTATGAAAAAGAGCTTGTTCTTCTTTGTCAAGACTGTTTACTTCGACAAACTCTCTCTCTCTCTCTCTCTCTCTCACACACACACACACACACACACACACACACACAGACAGACAGACAGACAGACAGACAGACAGACAGACAGACAGACAGACAGACAGACAGACAGATGACCAGACAAACATCCAGACAGACTTTAATACTATTTAAAAAAGAAATAAAAGAAGAAGAAAGTTGAAGATCGTGGCTTGTGCCATAAAATTGTAATTCTGCTTTTACAGAGACTGTCAACTGTAAAGGTTTTGGAAGAATGAAGTCTGCTGTCCAAGTGTTTTATTCTCTTATCTTTAACATTTTTTCCTCTCCTTAGATACTTTTTTGGCGCTCATATGACCTTATGCAGTTGCTAGCGCCGTAAAACCTCTACTAGGACAAACAAAAACAAGGTACTGTTTGGTTTTATATTCCAGCAACGAGAACAAATCCAGAATCAAGAAGCATATGGTGGAACTCGAAGGACGCGACATTACAAGGCCACGATGCTCGGACCCAGAATACTTTTACTCTGACTCGGAAGAGGACGAGGATTTTACTCCAGCCCCAACCAAGCAGCGCAAAATGAATGAGATAACAGCCCAAAAAGACAACAAGAAAACGAAAAAGTCTGCTATTCCAGGTGCGGCATCAGCATTAGAATCTGAGGATGGACCGAGTGCGAAAAGAAAGAACTCTAAAAAACAAAAAATGGGACATATAGATTCAAACAAAGATGGAGGTACCCACTGGACTCCTCAGAAGGAACTGCGTCCCACAGCTTCCAAAGATGATACCTTGGAAAAGAAGCCTGAGGCTAAGAACAACAACAACACTGTGCCCGGAGATGAAGATATCAATGTGCAGGTTGCGTACATTTCTGGAGACATTTACGCCAGGGTAAAGACACCTCTATCTTATAATGGACATTTCGTAAGCTTAATATCGTACCAAGCTGGTTATTGATCCATTGTTGTGTTCAGCTGATATTTATCTGTCTGACACTTCCTCTGTACCGTCCTGTATGGAATGTTATTTTCATCATTTTCATCATCATCATCATCATCATCATCATCATCATCATCATCATCATCATCATCATCATCATCATCATCATCATCATCATCATCATCATCGG